GCGCGAGCTCCTCGTAGGCAGGGGCTTGTGGGGGAACCCCGGATGAGAGCGCGACGGCAGCTCGTCTTCCGGCGAGAGCCCGGCCACTGCCAGCTGGCGCAGCGTATCAGGGCTGTGACTGAGCGGGTTGATGGTTTCCGACGGCAAGCGTGGAGCAAGCGAGGAGCGCGGTTCTCCGTCCGAGTAGTCCGTCTGCGACGACGGCGACTGCGACCGGGACCGCGACCCGGCATCGTGCTGTGCTGTGTCATGACGGCGCCGCTTCTGTGGGTGTATGCCCAAGGCGTACCCCGGGACTGAGAGTGCGAAGGGGCCCATGCTTGCTGGCAGATACTATGTGCACGGCGAATCTACTCGCATGATGATAAGCTCTGTTATGGTGTTTTCGGATATTCTGCTCATCGCGGGTGAAGTTGGCCAGTGTGTCGTGTCGTCGCCAGTAGGTGCTGGATGCAAGTGAGAGTGAGACCGGATGTGAGTGAGTGAGTGAGTAAGTGGATGAACACAGACTGACTACGTACCTACTAACTAATGATAGGAAATATGGGCAGTGCGACCTTGGCAACTAGCGTACTGTACACATTAAAACTTCAGCAATGGGATCTGCTTCGTGCACCTTGAATACCTACAGACCAGCACGAGAGGCGACATATTGAAGATGGGTTTCGTATACACGGCCCGGTAAGATGCTGTGTTTTGTTCTGCACCGGCATGCGGCGCTGAGGACATGCTAATTCGAGATTCGCCGATTCAGATCTCGAACAAGCCAAGTTAACTTAGTCGCGCACGTCAATTCGACATCGGATCTAGAGGCGTCAACGGGGTGTTGCCACCACAGCGTCGGCACGCGCGAAAGGGCATCACCACGGGCGTTTGTTTGTTTGTTTGTAGGTATGTATGTATGTACAATGCAATCTAATGCACCCATCGTCTATCGTCTACTGATACAACGGGGTCCAACTCTTTGAGTGCCCTGTTCCCGTTTCGCCCCAGATACCTGTATGCTTTATGACTTTCGCTCAAAATATTCCCACTGGCCCGCGGGCGGCTGCTCTTCTAAACTCTCCCATCTGCTTCAAGTTAGCCGCCTCTTCGTCTCCCCATACGCGGTGGTGACATTGGCAATGGCAATGGGAATGGCAATGGCACTTACACCTTCGCCTCGCGCATGATATCGATGAGCTTGAGTTCGCTCTCGGCCATCTGCACCACTTCCTCGATCAGGCCGGCGCCAATCTTGTTCTCGATCTCCTCGACCCTAGAAGTGAAGGCCCGTGTTTAGCGACCAAGGCCAAGCGAGCGCGTCGGGCCATTGCGCGAAAGGGGTGACATACTGGTCAGCGGTCATCTGCGGCTCTGGCTCCCATTGGACCTTGTCGGGAATCTCCAGCGCCTTCCTGTCGTACATGGCTTCGAGGCCAGGGTTCTCGCGCTCCTCGGGGCCACGCAGGCCCTCGCTGCCCTCACCCTCGTCCCGCTCGCCGTCCCACTCCTGGTACCGCACGTCCCTCGGCTGGGGATCGGTGCGGTGGATGAAGACGGAGCCGCCCGAGACGACCCTGATGGCACTGGCGCCGGTGGCGGTGCTGAACTCGGCGGGGTTCTCATCGATGACCTTCTGGGCCCGCTCGGCCCACTCCTTGTATCCCGGGGGCACGGCGGCCTCGACGACGGCCATGCGGTGCTTCGTCTGGGCCTCGACGGACTTGCGGTAGAGCGACGACTCGGGGAACTTCTGCAGCCGCTCGAGGGTGGTCGAGTACAGGAAGAGCAGCGTCGAGCGCGGCGAGCTGTGCGTGTACAGGCCGGTCAGGCCAGTGGGGTTGCCCGCGTCGAGGTAGCGCGCGGGCTTGACATTGGCGAGGAGTCGGAGTGCTGGCCGCATTGTGGCCGTGTGGTGTTCGGTTGCGTCGATTGGAGGTTGGGCGGTTGAGCGGTTGAGCAGTTGAGCAAGATGCCGAGCTGGGGCCCAGGGCAGCTTCACTCGGTTGGCCAGCCAGGGTTCTTTCTGTCCCGGGCGCTGGCTGGGGGGCCGGAGCTCGAGATCACGTGAGTGGGTCTACCGCCTATCGGTGCTAATCGCCTCCGTCATACCTAGGTACCTATCCAATAAGATGCGCCCTTCTAGTAGAGCTGTACTTAGAGGTACGTAGACGTAGGTACCTAAGGTACCTAAGCACTTACAGTATGCACCCGGCTCACAGCTCAACGCGCCGTGGGCAATGGAAGACTATAATTCGAGCATCTTGAAAACTCAAGGCGTTCTACCGGCGCAAGCTTGACAGACCACGCTACAAGCCCAACGAACCATGCATAGCAGTCTTAGACACCACTGGCGTTGACACACATCATGGTATCGTGGCCACACCAGTAAAACTTAATAAACAAGCATGCCAGAAATACCGGATGCTTGCCCAGAATCGACCGTAACGACAGAAACCTACACCTCTACACTTATATTCCGAGGCCGCCACCATCTGATGTGGCAAACGGCTGACTAGCAACACTTTGAAGCGACGCATCACGTACTAACAAATCTGCAAATATCCCTTTACCATTCCTACACTAAAGCCCCCCCTCCGCAATTGGTACTCGCAACGAGCCACCCAATTTTACCAGCAAGGGCCATGTCGTCGTTGGCGTCGATCCTTTACGAGGCATTTTCGCGGCTCTTGCGGTAGTTTTCCTATCGTCAAAACACCGTCAGCAAGCCGTGCCTTAGGTAGCCAGCGTAGACACCCGTCTGTGATCACGTACCTCCTGCTGAAGCTGGAGACCCTCGACAACGGGAGCCAGCTCGTTCAGGATCTCGTAGGCCTTCTTGTGGTACTCTACTTGGGCAGCGATGAGCTCGGCTAGGTTGCGAAGGGGTTCGGGGGTATCAAGAACCTAATTGAGAGAATCAGTATGGCCCATATAAACGATGGCTTTCGCAGAGGGCAACGAACGTTCTTCATGACCCCGACGGCTTCTTCTGTCTGGGTGACGAATTCGTCCTCGGCCTTCTCGATCTCCTCTTGGGCCTCGGCGCTGAGTTCCTCGGCGCTGGCGGGCTCATCACGAGGCGCCATGCCCCCCATCTTCCAGGTAGTGCCCTTGGCTCGGGATTTGACAGAGTCCAGCGTCAGGCGAGCCTTCTCCACGTTCCTGCGTGCACGCGTGGCGAACATCAAGTTGGTGTTCAAAGTGGTATTCCACCCAGCCAAGAACCTGCTCTGGATCTGTGCGTCCTGCGCCAGGCGAGCCTCGCCGACGCGCTCTTCGGCCAGCGCATACTTCTCCAGAGCGGTCGCCAGGGGGTCTTCGCCAGCACCGGTGTGTTGCTGGTGGAGCAGCTGAGAGCTGGCCAGACTGGCACGGGCAATCGCATGGTTGAATGTCTTCGGCTGGGGCTTGGCGGATGGCGGCGCGGTTAGGGCGGCCTGCGCCTCTGCGGGAGTGGATGCCGAGGAGAGGAGATGGACCTTCTCGCTGACGGTGCGGCCAAGGTCCTGGAAGGTCTCCTTGATGTTGGGCGGGTAGTCGTAGGCCTCGTTGGAGTATTGTGAGCTAAGGCCCGTCATTAGTCGGCTGCGCCGTAACTACAAAGAGGCAATCGGGGTGATCCGGCGCGATGGCGCGGCACTCACGTCACGGCAAGCAGTTTCTGATGAACCTGCTTCAGGGCATCCACACGCTTCTCTAGATCGATGTAGTCGGGGGGAAGCTGGGTCTGTCAAGGCCGCCCCGGATTAGCTACTGATTAGCTACTGCTGTTGCAGAACATTGGCCAGGATACGGGATGCTGACCTTGTCCTCGGCCTGGCCGAGCTGTTCCTTGGTGTACTGAAAAGTACGAGAGAGGGACGGGGTGATCTGAGACCCGATGTTGCTGGCGTGAGGGTGCGTATCAGCAACGAAGCCCCCATCGCGATGCTATGACGACTACGCTGCCACTCACCTGAGGCTGTTGCCGAAAGCCTTGAAGTTGTCCATGGCGGGCGGGTCGTGGCGATTCTACTGTCGAAGGGACAAGGTCTGGTGAAGAAATGGGAGCGAACAACGTAATGCGAAAGCTCAAACGTCGGAATAACCTCGTTGAAGCTTGCTAATAGCTTTAGGCCATCTTTAGGCGGTTCAGCCCACTCTCATCATGCGCTGTCGGGTGCTAGTCCCCGGGCTACAGGCTTAGGCTACAGGCAGGTTACAGGCTGCAGCAGATAGGTATAATGCGCCAAGTCTCTTCAGGGGGCGTTAGCGTCGACGATCAATCCTCTGACACGTGATGAGTGATCTAAATACCTATGTAGGTAGGTAAAAGGTGGGATATGCATATAGCGAATATCCATGATCATCAGGGCAGAACAAGAAGCAATCATGAACCCTACCTACCTAACTAGGTACCTACTTACCTATAACTAGGATAGCCTTCAATATGCTGGCTGGGTCATAGAACTTATCTAGACCTTGTGAAATAACGGTAAATCAATACCGCGACTGCCAGCAGTGGGGATTGTGACAATAGATTCACTTTAGCATGGTTTGTTCTAATCCTTAAGTCGGCGACACTATATTTGCTTGTACACTTCAGCCCCGTGCACTAAGTGTTGATTTCATGCACAGTCAAGGCACTTTTACGAGTCTTTTATGAGAGCCCGGAGATGTAACTACCGGTATATAACCATGAGCAGTGAAATGAGCACATGTTCTCGTTGCAGCTACACACACCCCGGGCAATACTGAGGTATCCAAACGAACAATAAAACATATTCAAGTGCCGATTGAATCTATCATTATCGGGACTCAGGCTCCTTGAAAAGTTACACCACGCTAAGTTTCAGTCAATATGGAAGAAGCTTGAGCCGCCAGGCAATCAATCTAGCTAGGTCGAGGGCGTGCAACAATTGTCATTCATGACTCGAACTCATGTGCTTCATAAGCGTACAATCGATCCACTACGTGAGAACGGAACGCTCCATTAGGAGGATCATGGTGGCCAATAATGAGCCCGACATCCATAAGCGGGGATAGCTCAGCTGGGAGAGCGTCAGACTGAAGCCTTATTAACTTCATTCATTTATCTGAAGGCCGTGTGTTCGATCCACACTCACCGCAATCAGTTGAGTTCATGTATTATTGTCGTTTGCTCCTCAATAGTATGCTGTTCATCTTTTTTCCCCCTCTTTTTTCAGAGTTAGTGCGAAAGCCTCCAAAGGCGAAAGAAAATAAAACGGAATTCTCGTGATCATGCCCTGCTTTATAAAAATAAAACCCTGCTATTATTGGTTTCATTTCCAACACACTTATTGCTTTTAGGTACTTTACTTAGCCCGGCTGCTTGGATTCACTATTGGCAAAGCAGCCAAATAAATGCGTGCTTGAGTTTAAGCTCTTCAAAGTGATCAAACAAAACCGGTAGTTATAACAAGATGCTGCCCGATAGCCATGTCTGTCTGGTGTTTTGTTTAAACTGCCAAGCACCAACCAACTATAAGCTTGATAAATACGTCCGGGTAATCATGACTTGTAACTTGAAACGAAGCTTTTAATTTTATAAGGTATTCTGCGCATGTGCTTTATTAAATCTTCAGCAACTTTCTGTTATTATGATTTATGCCGTTTTTTTCCCAGCTAGCAACAATTTTTTTTAATTGTGTTAAGTGATTACAACCGGGCTGGCAAGCCTTAGCCAAACAGTTAAGCTAATCAACACCTATCGAGAACTTGAATCGATTATATTGGTGGAACGAGGGTCTCTCAGGCAAGGCAGTGTGGTACCTAGATTATTGAAAACTCAATAGATATAGGTGAGTATTGTTGTATTACCAATTCCGTTGATAGATACCTATAATGGCGCCTGTTCTTCTATAGCAAACAGCTTCCTCTATTTCCATGAATTAGCTCAAGTCCAGGACTCAGCCCAGCAGCCAGTAAACTAACTATATGGGTTCACCGAGCTCTGAGGACGGGATGCCTTCGATCTCCAAGGCTCTATGCACGTGTTCTTGCTTGGCTGATCCCCCCTTTACTCAATGGGTAGGTAGCATGGGCAGCACCGTCATCGTCGGACCCGGCTTGGCTAAGTCTTGTTTCAACGGTGGGATTCTCGGTGACAAGATCAAGCATTGGCCGACCTCTCGGCTGATGGAGATGACGCTTTAAGGTTGGCTGTATGTAGGCTGTAGCGCACAGTAGTAATGTACATACGCAGCCGCACCCAATTCAAGCACACGGCACCGGCCAATCAGCCGCCGGGAACTGAGAAACGTGCCTCCTTCAGGAACCCTCATTCGCCCGTGACGTCATGGGTCCCCGGGTCTTCCAACGGGGACCATCCCCGTTCGGAAAGGTCTACGGAGTACTTCAGCCTCGATACCTTGTCGACGACGTCTGTTAGATAGCAACGTACATGGACGATGAGAACCAAGCATGAAGCCCCGATCCTGCCCATGTCGGCCCTTCTCTCTGGCTTTCGATTGCAGATCCTCCCGGCACCACCGCTGCCAGTGGTTTGTTCAATGTTGTACTCCCCAACACCCATTTCTCGTGGGCTTTCACGTCGTCTCTGCGCCTCGGGGGCATCAACGGACACTATCACTGATGCAGACGCACATCGGCAACTAAACGCGGATCGGCCTTTTGTTATGGGCCCTTAACTATCCCACGTGGGCCTGGGAATATGTGATTATGGACCGCGGCGTAACGTGTTGCCAGGCAAGAACGCATTGTTATAACACCACCGGAATGCTCAGCTGAACATGGTGCGCCCCGCCAGCAGTAGCTCGCATGCAGGTTATTTGACAAGGCGAGCCGGGAGTACCGGTGCTACGGTTGGGGTGGCATCCAGTTGCCCACCATCACAATCATAGCCCCTGTCATCAACTCTGGACCACCATGCCGCTATGTAGTAGATCGTTTCGTATCTGGGACCACCCCAGACGCAGAACATCGATATCAACGTAGATGTCTCTGGCCGGTTTGGCTAATCTAGCACAGCCTCGAGGACTCCGTGCTGGCCACTCAATCAGGCGAGGGAAAAGGGTGGGAAACCTGTAGAGCCGGAAATGGTTAGATGTGCTAGAGGGAGCCATGTGGTGTACATCAACTCAGGCCCGTCGTTTCCGCGTTATGCGTGGGACTAACAAGCTAGTCCATCCCACTGTCTATTCGGAGCAGTGGTCATATATGCCATCAGACAATAACCGTGTGGTTTGTTACCATTTTGGATACGTAATCTAGCGATAGCTTCTCACTGGCCCCAGTAAGCTCTCCCGGGTTTCTCATTTACACAGGGGTATAATACCGAACGCCTGCACCCCTCCTGGCTCGTACCCATTTCCTTCGTCTTCATCGCATGCCGGCGGTATAAGCATTATCCTAATTAATCTTTTTTTGTATTTATATCCTATGCTGGTGTAGACTCTCATCCCAACTCACGGGTTCCTTTCTCTTATTTTACCTGTATCCCCGTCGTTGGTTCCAAACGCCAGCGCTTCCCAACAGAGCCATGTCTGAAGAGACGGCTCAGAACACACCAGCGGCGCGTCCGGCTCCCGTTGCGAAGACGGCCGGCGGAAACAATGCCTATCATAACTTTCATAATGACTTCCTCCACATCCAAGATCCGAACGAGCGCCGACGTCTCGCGCTCGCTGAGATTGACAAAGCCCCTTTTGGTTGGTACCATGTGAGGTGCGTATCACCTGGTTCACAATCCTGTTTCCCTATCTGATTCCAGCCTAATGGACCGCAGAGCGTGTGTCGTCGCCGGCGTTGGCTTCTTTACCGATTCTTACGATATCTTCGTCGTCAGCCTGCTCAACGTCATGCTGGGGATCGTCTATTTTCAAGACGCGAAGGGCAGGCTCCCCCAGGCCTCCGACAACGCCATCAAACTAGCCACCTCGGCCGGCACCGTCGTTGGCCAGCTCGGCTTCGGTTACCTTGCCGACCACGTCGGCCGGAAGAAGATGTACGGTGTGGAGCTGATCATTATCATCTTCGCTACAATCGGCCAGGCCCTCGCCTCCGGCTCGCCGTCGGTCAATATAGTTGGTCTCATTATCTTCTGGCGCGTGTTGCTTGGCGTAGGCATAGGCGGAGACTACCCCCTTTCTAGTATCATTACTTCTGAGTTTGCTACTACTAAGTGGCGTGGCGCTATGGTGAGATTTGTGGTTTCATTTGTCGCTTGAGTTTGCTGCACGAGAAGACTCTACACTCCTAGAACTTCCGAAACCATTACCTTGAAATTCCGCAAGTGTCTGACTCTGTATGTCCTCGCAGATGGGTGCGGTCTTTGCTCAGCAGGGCATTGGCCAACTAACCGGTGCTTTCGTCATGCTCTTCCTCACTCTCGGTTTCAAGCAGGCCCTGTCCCAGTCTCCCAGCATTTCACAGTGTGATGGCTGGTGCGCTGTTGCCGTGGACAAGATGTGGAGAGCCCTTGTTGGCTTTGGCGCTGTCCCAGCAGCGATTGCTCTCTATTATCGACTGACGATCCCCGAGACACCTGTGAGTATGCCCCTGTTCACGCACAATTGAAGATAAAAGCTGAGGCAGTGAAAGCGCTATACCTTCGACGTGGGTCGCGACGTAGAGAAAGCCGATGAGGATGTCAAGGCATATATATCCGGCCGGCGTGAGGGCCAGCCTGATGATATTAGCCGTGTTCAGAATCGCATCGTTGCCCAGGAGGCAATGCAAGTTCCCAAGGCTAGCTGGAGCGATTTCATCCGGCACTATTCAATTCCTAAGAATGGCCTGCTCCTATTCGGCACTGCCGGCTCGTGGTTCGTTCTGGATGTCGCATGTAAGTACCATACTTCTCCAGGTGCGCTGAGGGACAATGTGCTCAACGATACTAGTCTACGGAGTCTCTCTTAACAACGCGGCAATTCTGGAGACCATCGGCTATTCGACTACTGGCGCTCATTCCACATACGACTTCCTCTACAAGACCGCCATCGGCAATCTTATCATTGTTCTCGCTGGAGCGGTGCCGGGCTACTGGGTATCCGTGGCCACACTCGACACGCTTGGACGAAAGCCAATCCAGATGGGTGGCTTCATAATCCTGACCATCCTGTTCATCGTATGGGGGTTTGCCTACAACCACATCTCCGGCCAAGCCAAGCTAGCCATCTTTGTCCTCGCACAGTTCTTCTTCAACTTCGGCCCGAACATGACTACCTTCATCATTCCCGGCGAAGTATTCCCTACCCGTTACCGGTCAACGTCGCACGGCATCTCGGCCGCCTCGGGCAAGATCGGCTCCATTATCGGCCAGGGCGCCATCGCGAACCTGCGCTACCGCGGCGGCGGTACTTGGCTAGACCACGTGCTCCAGATCTATGCTCTGTTCATGTTGCTCGGCATCGGTACAACCTTTTTTGTCCCGGAGACGAAGCGAAAGACACTCGAGGAGCTGAGCGGCGAGGATCAGCCAACCGCCGTCCCCGTTGCAGATCGGAGCGGCAGTGGCAGCCAGGACAAGAGACCGGAGTCACTATAACTCACCTCAGACTGATTGCCCCTGACCACAGATTCCAAGAACTAAAGGTTTTGTTGGATTTTATTTGTCTCAAGATCTGTTCAACCATGTGTGTATTGATTGTAATTCCGTGATAAAGCGCCGTTTAGGCCACATATCGTTATATCTATAAATTGTTTCCTGGGTCTTGTTGGATTTTGAAACTGTTTAGTATAGTACTGTGTCTGCGCAATGCGTGTCCGGCAGTCCCGCAGCGCTCAATTGACAATCTCAACGGCGGCCAGCGAGCCAACACCATACCTGTGAAAGAGGCCGCTGGTGTTCAGGGGGTCGATATCAAGTCTCGTATGAACTCGTGTATTTCCCTTGCGCCGTAAGACGGGACCCGTTGCAGATACCGCGAGGAGACAGCTGCGGGCCCAACAGAAACCTCAATAATTCGCCTCGAGAGGTACTCGATATCAGGCAAGTTTTTCGCTACGCCAAGCCATTTGCGTTGAGTTTCCGGGCAGTTGTCAATGGCTCTCTCCCAGAGATATCGCCACATTCTAAAGGCCTGCAACATCTTCTCCGATTGTCGTGCTAGAGACATGGTAGCATGTAAATTGAAGATAATCTGCTG